ACATGTAGGAAATAGAATCTTAACTCTGCTTAAGAATTGAGTATAAAGACTTTAAAAATTTTAGAGAACACACTATATTTGTTTATATATATAGTATAGATATATACATAGGTAAGAAGATAGATATCAAATCTAATTTGAAAAGTAAAGATAAAAGTAAAATAAACATCCTACAAAAAAAAGAAGAGAGAAATGTGGGAATTCGGGGAATTCGATTATTGATAATCAAAATTTTAAAAAGATAAAATATTTATGAGAGATTACGTATGAGTAAAAGATAATTTAATTTTGTTTGTTATATCAAAATAAAGGCATATATATTTTATTGAATAGTAGCAAAATAAATTTACTTTTTTAATAAAGTTGTGATAGAATAAAATATATTTAATTTTTAAATTGCATGCTTGATGATGATTTTTTCAAAAAAAAAAAAAAAAAAACATTGATAGAAAATTTTAAAATTGATGATAGTCAATTGTTATCATTATGACCTTCAAAAAGAACTTTGGATAAAATCATGATAGCCAATAAAAAATCAACGCTTAGCATTAAATTTTGCAAAAATAAAAAAAAATGAAAAATGAAAAATAAAGTATTGGAATTCCTCTAATCATATAATTAAACATTTTAGTTAATTTTAAAATTTAAATGTTAAATCCAGTAAAATTATGCTATGTGGGTTAATTCAAAATTTAGATAATACACTAATAGATTTGAACCATTTTTTTTAGTATTATTAAAAAAAATTCAAAAATTTAAATTAGGTATGTTTAGATATAATTTAAACATTTTAAAATTTTAAAATTAAACATTGTTAGATGTACCTATCACTTTAAGCCAAATATATTTTTTATTTTTAAAAATTTTAAAATTGAGAAATTGTGTTTAAGGTTTTGAAGCTGTTTTTTGTGTGTGTATTTAACTGGATGTATATTGATTGTAGATGATTGAGAGAGCTTGAAGGAGCAAATGTGAGATTAACTCTATGCATAGCTGATCTTCTTGATTTCGAGAGTTTACCTGAAACTATTAATGGGTGTGATGGTGTGATAGATATGAGATAAAATAGAAATAAAAAAAATTAAATTCAAGATTTGATGAGTTTCAAATCTGATTAAATTGAAAAATAAACACAATTCATAATTTTTTTTTTTTTTTTAAAAAAGGCAAGCCCAAATCATGCAAAATGTAATAATGAAGATGATGAAAAGATGTGTAAATGAATTGAAAAATATTAGGAAAAAAATATACACACATAAAAGTAATAGACATTGGAAAAATACATATAAAGTAGGAAATAATATTAGGATCATAAAAATGGAGAAAATGAAAAGATGTGTAGATGAATTGAAAAATATTGGAAACAATATATATGCACACAAAGTAACAAACACTAAAAAAATACATATAAAGTAAAAAATAATATTGCACTGACCTTATAATAATTTTCACAGATCATCAAACTTGCAAAATTTAACAATCGAAAAGATGAGTTATTTTGAGAAAAGATAGGTAGATAAGAGAATAATTGAATGTAATAATGGAGAAGATGAAAAGATATGTAGATAAACTAAAAAATATTGGCAATATATATATATATATATACATACAAAAGTAATAAACACTAAAAAAATGCATATAAAATAAGAAATAATATTAGGAGCATAAAAATGGAGAATATGAAAAGATGTGTAGATGAATTGAAAAATATTAAAAAAGAGAAATATATACACACAAAGTAACAAACACTAAAAAAATACATATAAAATAAGAAATAATATTACACTGACCTTGTAATGATTTTTACAGATCATCAAACTTGTAAAATATAACAATCGAGAAGAGGAGTTATTTTGAAAAAAGATAGGTAGATGAGAGAATGATTAAATGTAATAATGGAGAAGATGAAAAGATATGTAGATAAACTGAAAAATATTGGCAATATATATATATATACATACAAAAGTAATAAACACTAAAAAAAATGCATATAAAATAAGAAATAATATTACACTGACCTTGTAATGATTTTTCCAGATCATCAAACTTGCAAAATGTAACAATGGAGAAGATGAGTTATTCTGACAAATAAAAGATGGATAGATGAGAAAATGATTGAATTTGATTGGAATAAATTGAATAGAGAGTTATTCTGAGAAATAAAAGATGGATAGATAAGAAAATGATTGAATTTGATTGGAATAAATTGAATAGAGAGTTATTCTGAGAAATAAAAGATGGATAGATAAGAAAATGATTGAATTTGATTGGAATAAATTGAATAGAGAGTTATTCTGAGAAATAAAAGATGGATAGATAAGAAAATGATTGAATTTGATTGGAATAAATTGAATAGAGAGTTATTCTGAGAAATAAAAGATGGATAGATAAGAAAATGATTGAATTTGATTGGAATAAATTGAATAGAGAGTTATTCTGAGAAATAAAAGATGGATAGATAAGAAAATGATTGAATTTGATTGGAATAAATTGAATAGAGAGTTATTCTGAGAAATAAAAGATGGATAGATGAGAAAATGATTGAATTTGATTGGAATAAATTGAATAGAGAGTTATTCTGAGAAATAAAAGATGGATAGATGAGAAAATGATTGAATTTGATTGGAATAAATTGAATAGAGAGTTATTCTGAGAAATAAAAGATGGATAGATGAGAAAATGATTGAATTTGATTGGAATAAATTGAATAGAGAGTTATTCTGAGAAATAAAAGATGGATAGATGAGAAAATGATTGAATTTGATTGGAATAAATTGAATAGAGAGTTATTCTGAGAAATAAAAGATGTTTATTATGAAGGATTTACAAATAATATTTTTATTTAGCATTTTTTAATTAAGTGGTGTAAAGTAATATTAAGTAATACTATAATAAAATATAATTTATCCAATATTTAAATTGCATATATGCTCACCTTTCCAAACTGTGCGAAGTGATTTGGGTCATGTAGGTTAATGGATTAAGTAATTTTTGGGATACTATAAAATAAAATAAAATAATTTATTAAGAAATATTCTTTTAAGTGTTTTTATTTTAATTAGTTCATAATATATTATTTTATTTCAATAAATTTTATTATGTGGACATTTGGTTTATCAAATCTTAATACTCATATTTAAGATATTTTATAGATAATTTTATTTTTACAAATATTTTTTGAACCCTTAGTAATTTTGTGATGTAAACTTTCATATTTGATAGTGTGAATTTTCACATTACAAAATATTCGCACTATATTCACATTATCAATATGAATATTAATGAGCGTTTCACCCTATTATTATTAAAAGTATTTTGGTAATTATATCACCCATAGAACTTATTGAAATATAAAAAAATAATTTGAATTAAGTAAAACATAAATAGGTGAATAGGGATTTATGAATAAATATCCGTTATGTATGGAAAAGATTATGATGCACACATTTCAAAGGATGTGTACCGTATGTACCTTTTAACTAAAAAAAAATGACAAAATTTCATACTTTCTGAGTCAGAATTAAAAAAAAAAATCATAACCAAATAACACATAAGGCATAATAAAAAATCTCATGAGTCATAACTAAAAAAAATGGCATAGCTTAGGGGTGCCTATGTTAGGGGTATGTATAATAGAGTTTCTCCTTATTTATATAATATATATTTTTTATTTTAGAAATAAGTAGTAGAGGTACTTACGTGTAGGTCTTAATAGATGGACGTATTATCTAATAGATTCAGTGATAATTAATGGTATTTTTATCAAACACTATTAAGAAAAAAAAAAGGGAATTTACGTGTAGGTCTTAATAAATGGACTTATTATCTAATAAGTTTTATGATAATTAATAATATTTTTATTAAATACTATTAAAAAAAATTACTAATTATTAATTTTCAGCGACACTTTAAAAATTTTGTTACAAAAAAATCGCTAATTATAGATTTTAGAGTTAGTTAAAAAAAATCGTCACAAAAAAAAAAATACTAATTTATAACTTTCAATGACAATTTGAAAAATTTATCACAGGAAAACATCGCTAATTGTAAGTTTTAGCGATAGTTTATGAAAATCGTGACAAAAAGTTACTAATTGTCAAATTTTAGCGATATATGTAAAAAATTGTCACAAAAAAAATATTTTTTAACAATGATTTTACTATGATTTATTTTTAATAGGATTTGATATGAATTAAATCTAAATATTATGACATATTAGTAGTTTATCCTAATTAAAAAAATATCATAACTAAACAAAAAAATTAATCATAACTTAAAGTACATATGATACGTATTTTTTAAGGGGGTGTATATTAAAATTTCCTTAAAATTTATTATTATTACTTTTTGAAGTTTAATAAATAAATGGTAATTTTTTTATTTTTTTTTCCAACTCAAAGGCAATAAGGTGTTTGGGAAGAGGGTTTTAGCTCACTAAAAGATAAAATAGATTAAAATAGTTAATAAAATAAATGTCACATTCAATTCATAATTATTTCATTTTTTCTCTCACAATCATCAAATTAATTATAAAAAAAAAAAAACTAAGCCTCTGTCTGGGAAGAGGTTTTTTAGACTTTTTTGGCTAAAATAGTCATAAAAGGCAAAATAGACTATTTTAGCCACAACAAACAAAACATCACATCCAATCCATAATCATTACACTATTCTCTCACAAAAAAAGTTTAAAAAGTCAAAAAATCCTTCTCAAACCAAGTTTTTTAGCCCAGGCAAAAATAGTAAAAAAAAGTCAAAAAATTAAAAAATCAACACACTTTCCAAACGAAACCGACTAAACTTCTCAAATACAACTATTTTAATCTAATTAAAATAATCAAAAAAATCAAATAACCAACTAAGCCAGTTTTTTAATTTTTTAAAATAACATTACCTCTTTATTTTTTTACACAATTTTGTAAAAAAAAAAAAAAGGCTAAAAAAATAATAAAAAAAATGAATTGTCAAAATAAGCTAAAGATGATCAACCCAACGACTCCGTTTCTAGCTTTTTTTTTTTCTACAAAAAAAAACCCCAATTCCACTCTTTCTTCCCTGCAATCAAATCATTCCAACTTTCAGTTACAGAGCAAAACATGGGTCCTCTCTTCAACGGTCTCTTCTTCATTCTCATCTCTCTACTGTTTTGCCCAATACCCAGTTCTTCTTCTTCTTCTTCTTCTTCTTCTTCTTCTTCTTTGAGTTCAAAAGGGCTCTCAGAAATTACCCAAAGCTTTCTCGATTACGCCAAGAGAAAAGATGTTTTTGATTGGATGGTGAGTATTAGGAGGAAGATACACGAGAATCCTGAACTGGGTTATGAGGAATTTGAGACAAGTAAGCTTATCAGAGATGAATTGGATAAGATGGGTATTTTTTACAAACACCCAATTGCTGTCACTGGCGTTGTTGGATTCATTGGCTCCGGCGAGCCCCCTTTCGTTGCGATACGGGCCGACATGGATGCTCTGGCTATGCAGGTTTCTTCCCAAATTTTAGTATTTTTTTTTCATATTTATTTTAATGGCTTTTTTTTTTTTTTTTGGTTAAAGGTATTTTTAATGGTGTAATTTTGTTTACTGGTAATTTAAGTGTTGATGTTGACTGCTTGGATTGTGTACTTTGAGGACTCGATAGCTTAATATGTAGTTGTTATGCAGATTTAGGCAGTGGGGGTACTATTTTGCGGAGTTAGAAGCATATCTTCAATCCTTCCATCAATTTTGTCATCAAATTCAAATTTGATGAAAAAATGACTATAAGTGTGCTCCAATCATTTTGGGGCCACTATTTTGGGGAGTTAAGAGCATCTTTAATTCATCAATTTTTTCATCAAATTCAAATTTGATGGAAATTTTTGATGAAAAAAATGGGTTAGAAGTGTACTCTCCAACCATTTCATCAAATCTGTATCAAATCTAGGGAGAGGCATGTTTTCAACAGTTCAAATTTCTATTTTCTGGGTATTTTTTTAATTTTTTTTTTTCCGTCTTACTGTGTAAATGCTATTTTCTTCCCAAATTTAAGTAATTTCTTCTTCTTTTTTCCTGGATTTTTCTTACTGTGTAAATGCTATTTTTTATGTTACTCTTGTTTGTTTCATCAGAAAATATTTTCTGCATTTTTTGGCATTTGATACAATGGGAAGGAAATTCAACCTAAACATTTTCCATGTCAACAGAGAACAAAATGTTTTACCAATGCCACCACACTACTGTCGCCCGTTGCCACCTCCCCCAATTTAGCTGTGTGATCGCAAGCAAACATAGCAAAATATTTTGTTCTCTTTGGAAAACATTTTCCAGAAAAAGGTTTCCCTGGGAAAATATTTTTTGCCAAAACAAACTGAGTGTTAATGGTACATTAAATTAGGTGTGCAACTTGGGCAGGTTGGCTCGGGTTGGAAGGTTGCCTAGGCCCAGCCCGAATTGTGTTTGTAAGCCCGCCCAAGCTTGACCATCAACTCCAATTTGGCTGCCCAAGCTCGGATCGAGCTACATAATTTGAACTTGGGCTAGCCGAAAATTTCCTAATTGAATAGATAAATAACCAAAAAAAAAAAAAAAACAGATTGGGAGTGATTCAATAACAATCATGTACTAAATAAATAAAAAAAATAATTCATCTTCATCACATCCAAATAGAATTAGATTATAAAAGAAGGAAATTTCTAAACAATCCATTAAAAAATTAAATCATACCTACATTAAAATTTGCCCAAACTATCTGTAAGTAAACCATTACTTTATAAAAATGATCTTTTTTTTATAGTGTTTACTTGTAAATCCAACCAAACAAGCCTAGAAGACAACTTTATCAAGAGTTTTAGAGAGAGAAGCTGAGGGATATAGTATGGAACCCAACTCAACACTCTCTTTCCCGCGCGCGCGCGGGGGGCGGGGGGAAGGAAAAAAAAATACAAATTAAATCTACAAAAGGATACATCGGATGCCTCATGATCTTGTTCGTAAATCTCAGGAGGAATGAGGGATCATGTGGCTGAAGCTCAAAGCTTGAACTTTAACGGTGATCAAAGAGAGAGAGAAAGGGAAATGACAGTAATGAGGAAAAGGGGGTGGTCTCTCTATCCAAGAGAAGACAAAGTGAAAGCAAAGAGGGGCAGTTAGGGGTTTGCGTGGTGTGATTTGGGCAGTTTGAGAGTAAAATTATAAACTGAATGGCGGATTAGTGGATTTGACAAATTGCGGTTTGAGCGATTTTGGGCGGATTGGAGGATTGATCAATATTCTAACCAATTATCAAGCCTTTGGATAATATATTACACTAATTTGCATAATATTTTTCATATATATAACACAAATTAATTTTACATAATATTTTTCATATATATAACTATTAATTTTTAATAAATTTCACATCTTAAATCTCTCTCACACTCATTTTTACTTTGATATTTTATTATAGGTTAAAAAATATATATGTATTAATTATAGCGGAGCAGAGTGGTTTCGAAGTCGGATTATAAATTTTAAAGCTTAAACCGCGATTAGTGGATAGAGCGGTGCGGATCCGTGTGGTTTTAGCAGATTAGGCAGTATTCTGCACAGCCTTAAAGGCTACCCCACGTGGTTAAAACAAAATTCCATTTATAACCTCTGAAGCAAATGAGGTTGAAAGGCAAAATGAAGGAGACATGCCCACAATTATACATATATTATATAATTTTTATAATATATAAAATGCAACTTGGGTTCGGGTTGCTCAGGTTGCACACAGCCTCTGTCCAGGCCTAGCCCAAATTGCAATTCGGGCATCAAAAATTTGCCTAGCCCCATCAACATTACAAAATATTGTTGTCCAAGCCCTTAAAAAACTTGGGCTGGGCACGGGTTGCTTGGGTTGAGCACGTTCGAGTTGCACCCCTACATTAAATGATATAATTTTGTTAACTAGTAATTCAAGTATGATGTTCTTGACTTCTTGGATAGTGCACTTTGAGGACTTAAAAGCTTAATATGTGGCAGTGGGGGTAGAGACGGAGTTAGAAAATTTATTCAAGGGGGGCTGAAGTAAGTGTTGAAAAGAGTCCCATACACAAAGTTCTCAATGTTATAGAATATGTGGAAAGATTGTTTTTGTGGTGTGAAGAACTCATAATGCCTAGGTAGCCTTAGGGATAAGCTAAGTGTAAAAAAAATGATAAAATTAATTTCTCAATGTTACAGAATTTGTGGAGAGACTGTTACTGTGGTTTGAACTCATGACACCTAGGTAACCTTAGAGACAAACTAAGTATAAAAAAATGATAAAATAAATTTCTTACATGAGAAATTTCTTACATGAGAAATTTTTAAAAATAATAAGTTAATCTGTATCAGTCATTTTCTAATAGTTATTTAATTATTTCATACAATTTTTGAGTTATGTAGTTAATATCTTAAATTGGACTGTCATTTTATTGCACCTCCCATCTTTTGATAAATAAATTTTTTTTTTTTACTATCCTGTAATTTCCCTTTTGAAATATAGGAATAGTTGAATTTTTTTTTAAAAATAAAAACTTGCAGGGATCATCCCATCTACATTGTAAAATTAATCTTGAAGTAGACGGCTTTTCATGTATAATATCAAAATAATTTTAGAATTAATGAGTAGTAGTGTAATTTTGAAGAACTTTGGGGGGAGCCATGGCCACCTTTGGTCATGGCATAGCTCCATCCCTAAGTCGGGGCACTATTTTGGGAACATAATAGCGTAATATATAGCTGTTATGTAAATTTAGGCATTGTGAACCTGTAAAGGAACAAGATGGAAAGTTTTGAAAACCCCAAAACACTTTGAATATTTTAAAATATTTCAACAAATTTCTGCTTGTGTGTATTCATTAAGTGGAGGAAAAGGGAAAAGGAGATGAGGATATATGTGTTGTGAAGTGTATTCATGAGGTTGTGATTTTTGTAGGAATTGGTGGAATGGGAGCACAAGAGTAAAATTCCTGGGAAGATGCACGCATGTGGGCACGATGGTCATGTTGCAATGCTTCTCGGTGCTGCAAAGCTTCTTCAAGAGCATCGTGACCTTTTACAGGTTCATTTTGTGACACTTACTCATCATACCTAAATAAAAGCATATCTTCTCTATTCTTATCTTAGCATGTAGTTGGTAGTTTTCATGGTACTTGGGGGTTTCTTTTATGAGTGTGTGTTTAGGTGTTTTAGCAATCCAGTAGTGTCAGTGTGAAGTGTAGACTGGCAATCAGAAGATCTCTCATATAGAGTACCTTGTCTAATTTGCCTTCATTCGTCTTTAATTCCTTAACTGATGGTGCTAATTGTTGAATACAAAAATTAGAATACATAGAATCTTTTTATTTTTAGTATTATGTATATAATCTGTGATTGTGTTAATCACTAATTTAGTATTGTTTCTTTATTTATGTCGTTTTCTAAATTATATTGTGAATCTATTATATATATATGGCCTCTATCTCATTTATGGGTAAGCCAAATAATTCTTTTCATTCTTTTTGGTATCAGAACTAGGTTAAGTACCTAGTAATTTTACTTCACTGGCGGGCAGCAGCCTTGTCTTTGCCGCCCGCCGGACCTTAACCAATTCCACTGCCATATTTTCTTTCAGTATCACTTTGTGGTGATCTCTTTCTCTATCCACTAGTTTATTCCTATCCCAAATATCTCTATCATATTTTTTTTACTCGCAATCTATTTTTTTGTGTTTCTGTTCCATTTTGTCTTTCCCTCTATTTCAACCTCAAATAGGTTTCTATCTTCAAACCTATTTGAGTATGAGGGGGATATTATACCTATATTATGGTGACTATGGTGATATACCATGTGAACCACCTAAGCAGCCCCTTCTGGCGCACAACCCAAGTGGCCCCATTAGCGCACCACCTATGCCTCCCTCTCTGGCGCACAACTAAAGCCGCCCCTTCTAGTGCACCACCATTCTAAATTATATTGTGAATCTATTATATATACATGGCCTCTATCTCATTTATGGGTAAGTCAAATAATTCTTTTCATTCTTTTTGGTATCAGAACTAGGTTAAGTACCTAGTAATTTTACTTCACTGGCAGGCGGCAGCCTTGCCTTTGCCGCCCGCCGGACCTCAACCAATTCCACTGTCATATTTTCTTTCAGTATCACTTCGTGGTGATCTCTTTCTCTATCCACTAGTTTATTCTTATCCCAAATATCTCTATCATATTTTTTTTACTCGCAATCTATTTTTTTGTGTGTTTTTGTTCCATTTTGTCTTTCCCTCTATTTCAACCTCAAATAGGTTTCTATCTTCAAACCTATTTGAGTATGAGGGGGATATTATACCTATATTATGGTGAGTATGGTGATATACCATGTGAACCACCTAAGCAGCCCCTTCTGGCGCACAACCCAAGTGGCCCCATTAGCGCACCACCTATGCCTCCCTCTCTGGCGCACAACTAAAGCCGCCCCTTCTAGTGCACCACCAAAGCCACCCCTTGGTGCACTTTCTAATAAGTCGCCCCTTAGCGCACTCAATTATCTATTGCCATCATCGTTCAGCACCACGTCATAAGTTATGTGTGTGCCACACTTGCTGGTTCAACTTCCAGTTCTCTACATCAGTCCAGCATGACCCCTTTAAACTGTTTCGACGTTGATTTCGGTTTGTTCCTACAGTGGTCCAGCATGGCCTTAAACTATCCCGACATTAGTTCCAACCAATTTCTACAATGGTCCGACACAACCATAAACTATCTCCCGGCATTAGCTCTGGCCTCTGATGCCGATCAGGGTCTTGTTGGCTATCGATCAGGGTGTTTCCTGGCCATAGATGCTTCGGCAGCTCTTCTAGGGTAGTTCAATCCCTGTTATTTTCCTTTTCTAGGGTGTAATGTTAATGTATTAAACACTTTTTGGCCTTTTTTATTTAGTAGACTACCAGATTTGTTCAGTAGCATTTATTTGGACTAGCTGTTGAGTCTTTTCTGGCTTCTTCCACTTATCCATTAGCAAGCTGCGATTGTTGAATATCTTCACACCAGCTTGAGGAAGAGTGTTGAATATAGAAATTAGAGTACATAGGATCTTTTTGTTTTTAGTATTATGTATATAATCTGTGATTGTGTCAATCACTGATTTAGTATTGTTTCCTTATTTATATCGTTTCTTAAATTGTATCATGAATCTATTATATATACATGGCCTCTACCTCATTCATGGATAAGCCAAATAATTCTTTTCATTCTTTTCTAATCATCTTTGAAACTGATGAAGGATTCACTTTTTGAGTGACGGTTTCGAAGATAATTTTATATTTTATTTTTGTGTATTAGCTGATTTATTCTACTATTGGCTTTGGTGGATTTTAGATTTGAAAAGCACAAGATTTTCAAATAAAGCACTAGTGCATTAGTGGGGAAGTGATTGAGGAGATATGCAGTGGAGAGGGAGATTTTGTGTAGGATGTTGGTGGATCTTGAGTATGGAGGGGTTAAGTACTGAAAAAGGCAAGAGGGCCTTATGAAGTTGTTAGGAAGGCTAACAGAGTTGGTAGGGATGACTTTTCCATGAGTATTTGTCTTTCTGGTTTTCTCAAAGACAACAACTTTCAAAAGATTTATGGTGTGTTGAATCTACCTTAATTCTAGATCTTCTCTGTACAAGTGGATAGGGAGACTTTGGTGGCAAATTGGATAAGTGGTTTTTGAGTTTGTCATTCCCTGGAATTGTAGATTTTCAGGGAAATTCAAGACTGGGAGCTGGAGTGGATGGGTGTTGAGTTTAGTGAGGTAGAATTTTTTAGGGAAATTTAGCCAAAACCCCTCCATTGGACCCTTATTTGATGAAAAGGACAACTCAATTTTTTTTACTTCATAAACCCTCTACGGAGGAGGCACATAATTGAGTAAGGACAAAGAAAAATATCCTCTTTTTTTTTCTTGGATAATATTGTCAGAGTAACATATTACTGTGAGACAGAGTAACATGTTACTGTTTACATCAATTTTGATGATAATAATTTTTTATCTATTTTTTTTAAGAATTTCATCGTCAACATGGATTTTATTTGATAGATCTTGATAAGAGGATTCTAAAAATACTAATTTTGCTAGAAATCGACATCTAAATCAAAAGTTATATTATTTTAAAGTTTAATATTTTAGTAATAGTAGTATGTATTGGACTTTTCAAGGAAATTTTTTTGTACTTGTTCTTAATGCATTAATGTTTTATTATGAGGGGTTTTGAGCAAATTCTCTAAGCTCCACCTGATTGTAAGTTAGGTTTTTTTTTTTTTTAACAAGGTTACTATGGCCAAAATTTTATGATTGATTATTGTAAGAATCTAAATGGGTGTTGTTGAAGTAATGGAATGAGGATGTAGTGGTTTATCTTTTGTTGATGTTGAGTTTGGGGCTCTTTTGTTCTATATTTTAAGGTCTGTAAGGCCGCTTTTGTTGTGGAAGGGGATAAGATGGTATTATGAAATCCAGGACAAATTATCCGGAGACTAATTGTTTTGAATTTTGTGTTTGGATATAAATTAAGGGTAAATTACCAATAGATCCTAATAGTTAGACTTAATTCTTATTAAGTCCTATAGAAAGTTAGTCTTAATAAAATCGTTGCTAAAATAATATTTTGTGACGATTTTTTGTATATGCCGCTAAAAATTGACAATTAGTGACTTTTTTGTGTCACAATTTTTATAAATTGTCGCTAAAACTTAAAATTAGTGATATGTTTCTGTGACAAAATCTTCAAATTGCCGTTAAAAGTTGAAAATTAGTGACTTTTTTGTGACGATTTTTTTAAACTATAGTTAAAACTTATAATTAGTGACGTTTTTTATAACAAAATTTTCAAACTGTCGCTGAAAATTAACAATTGGTGATATTTTTAAATAATGTTTGATGAAATAAACTATTAATTATCACAGGACGTATTGGACAATAAGTTCACCTATTAGGACCTACACGTAAATCCCCCAATATTATATCCTAATTATAAGTAACTGTGAGGACATAATTTTTGAATGACAACACGTGGTCGAGGTGTCACCGAAGTGCCAGCCGAGGTGCCACGTGTCCTGGTCATGACGCCGAGATCATCTCGGCTAGGCCGAGGTTATCTGCGAAGATACCGGAATCCGGGATAAGCAGATAAGGGACAAGAGTCCTAAAATGAGAGAGGACTTCAGTTTGGGTAAAGATAAAACTCTTAGAGAGTTTATCCCAATCCTACTGGGAGTCCAAGATTAGCAGTAATCCCGAGTCTATTGAAGTTAGGCTTCTATTGGGACTAGGATTGTGTTGACTATAAAAGGGAAGCACCCCCATGGGTCTAAGGTATGTCTTTTATGCTTTGTGTAGTGAGTTAAGCACTATTGGTTATCTTTGAGAGATATTTTACTGACTTGATTGTCGGAATGCCCCGGGTGGACGAGCCACCGCCGGAATCTTTTCTTTTTGTGACAGGTCGTTCGGGCTTAACCTATTCTGCCGGTGTTCTCCAGTTGAGTACAAAGTTGGTAGTGTGGTCGGAAATTGACATGCACAGTAACCAATATTCTATCCTAATTATAAGTGATGTAAAATTTTAGAGTGAGAAATAGAGGCTATTTTCCCCTCAAATATTTTTCTCAAATTAGGGATATGTAAAAATTATCAAGGGATTGTTGTTCAGTACTATGGTAAAAGATGGGAAAGTCAAGTATAAGAATGAAGGTTCAAGTCTGACAAGCCACTCGTACTGACAAATAGGGAGGTTTAAGTAAGCGACCCGTATAATCTTGATCAGAAAAGGGACCAAAGCTTGATAATCACCAAAAGTAAAAATTACTGATTCAGTTTTTGTTCAGCTTCATAATCCCTGGGAATCTTGAAGGAGAATTAGGCTGTGTTTGGAGCATGAATTGAAAGCAAAAGGGAAAAGATGTGTGAAATTACTAAAATGTAGTTATATTTCATTCACATTTTACCTACCTTTTCCTTTTCCTTTTCTTTTTCCCTTTCCCTTTCCAAACCCCTACCCAAATTCATGCTCCAAACACAGCCCTAAGGATGACTTTGGAGATTTCCTCATTACTAATTGTACTAGTGCTCTATATGTCTAATCTGGGTTTTGTAATTAACCATGCAGTTATTCTTTCTTGAAAAGTATTATTCACTATAATCTTTTGATGATTCTTATTATGATACTGGTTTTTGCATTGGTTTCTTTCTGTAGAGGCAGGACCATAAACTTCTTAGGAAAATGCTAAAAAAATTTAGATGAAGGCAATGCTGAATCTCCACTGATACTAGTGCTGTAATTCCACACTCGCTCTGGATGCTTTCTAGAATTCTTTATCTTTGACAGACCTGCATTAGAAGATCATCCCATGCTATATATTCTAAACATTTTACATAATCATTGCTTTCTTTGTTTCAAAAACTTGTAGAAAACTAAACATGAATCTTGAATGAAGAAGCTAGTACTTCTGTACAAGTGTACAACATTGATTCTGCGTGATGCAGTGAAAAAAGATGGAAAGAAACAAGAATACAGACAGGTTTGTTGTGGCTGGCAATTCCTGATATCTGAATATATCTGATACATACAATCTCCACGATATCCTAATTATAATACATTTAAAATCGTAGGACTCCTTGCATCTTTATAAGCCACAGTACAATGTTGGTCACCAGTGACAAATTTGAAAATAAATAAATAATCCTATTGAACATCTCTAAATAGATAAATCTAGTTGTGAACTTGTGATTGTATAAATTGAAAGTAATCAGAGTGTCAATGATTGCGCATCGTTGTAAGAGAGTTTAATTGTGCTTCAAGTTCCTCTCTCTCTTAATCTTTATTTTCTTTTATGTGGGCTTTGTTTTTTTTCATCTTTTCTCATGTAGACGCTTGAATTATCTTTTTTTTTTCACAATAGGGGACAGTTCTTTTAGTCTTCCAACCAGCAGAGGAAGGAAGTGGAGGGGCAAAGAAAATGGTAGAAGCCGGAGTACTGGAGAATGTTGAAGCTATCTTTGGGCTCCACGTCCGTTCAGACATACCCATAGGTGAAGTCACCTCCAAATCTGGACCTCTTTTGGCTGGGAGTGGCTTTTTCGAAGCTGTAATAAGTGGAAAGGGAGGTCATGCAGCCATTCCTCAGCACTCAATAGACCCAATTTTAGCAGCTTCAAATGTGATTGTCAGCTTACAGCATCTGGTTTCACGAGAAGCTGATCCATTGGACTCTCAGGTAGATTCCAATTTTCAACCAACATTTTTATCCCTTTCGAATTTTATGCAGAATTTAAAATGCTGTAGCTGAACATCGAGCAATAATTATCTGCAAAATTTGTTTTGCACATTTATAGTAGTGAACATGGTCAATTTCAAGTCTTGTAACTATAATTGGCAGACTAACAAAATAGAGAATACTGCCACTGTCTTTAGAGTTTGTTTCTTTGAAAACGATACCTTTGTTGGGTAAAATGACATGCACTTATGCACTTTCTTGATAGGTTTGTTAGGAACCCATAACACCTAACCAGGATTGGTAAAATAAAAAACACAAAAATGAACAAATACACAAGAAAGATAAATCACATGCACACACGAAGAACACAATGATCAGAAAGATTACAAGAGATTGCAAAGATAACCACCTCCCTCAACAATAAATACATATAAATTAAGGCAACAGGTATAGAAGTGCAGAAATACCAAAATGCTCTTTACTCCAAATTCGGGATCCGTTGTTGAGTGGTTAGTGCATAGTACTTATCGGGATCCACACTACCCCAACAATGGTCTTGCTTGATAATTGTTGAGACTCACAGTTTCATCAGTTCACTTGGGAAGATTGCAATAGGCAGCCGAATATCATAACCAGTATATTCATCAACAATGTGAAAAGTCAATTGGATTGTGAATAGGTGTTGGATGAAACATATCAACATTGGGTTGAATTTAGCTGGCGACTTTCTCCCTTAGAAACTCGAGGTTTAAAAGGAACTTCTTCTCTTTCTTCCTACAGGAATTTTAGTTAGTTTTCAAGATTAAAATATAATGCAGACATAAAATTCAACTTGGGTTTTGCCAATCCTGGAGCCTGCAATGTAGGCAGCCGTAAACCCTTGCCTATACAAGTAGTTATACTTTTAGAACATAACCTTCAAAGTTTGGTATCATCAAGAATTCTTTCTGAAAAAGACTGCTCAACTTCCTTTTAGAAACTTGGAAATTTAATGCTTTTTAAAGGTGGGTGTGGATCAATGATTTGAGGAGAGATTTGTGAAGGGAAAAAATTTTGTTCATTTTCCCCTTTACAAATCCCTCTTCAAATCCTTGATCCAAACACAGCATGAAAAAAGAAAATAGTAGTAATAAGGTGACCTAACTTGAATGTTTTCGATCTCCAAGATGGTTCAAGGCTCCGTAATCTACCTAAACTTGCTTGTTCTTTGTTCTGATATGCTCCAAGATTTTTTATTTGGAAAAACATGACATTTTTATTTCCATTGTTTGTATGTCTTTTGTAAGATTTAACTATTATGTATACTTGCAGGTAGTAACGGTTGGTAAATTCCAAGGCGGTGGTGCATTCAACGTTATTCCAGATTCTGTCACCATCGGGGGCACCTTCCGAGCCTTCTCAAAGGAAAGCTTAATGCAACTAAGACAGCGAATTGAAGAGGTACATGGCATTTAAGTTATGCACTATAGTAAATATTACGACGAACTGCGGAAAAACTTGGAACATTTTTTGAACTTTCCACATAATTTTCATTAAGCAATGTAATTAATTTTGTAGTAAATGGTTCTATAATTTTATATTAGTCAGAAATATCTGTTCTATAATTACTCAATAACTTATGTTGGACAGCTTAGGATGCTAATGTATGATTATTTCTTTCCACATGCTTTCTGTCCAACTTGTAATATAATGGTTTTTGATTTTGATTTATATTATTCCCCAAACTTTTTCTCAAATTATGTTAAATTTCTTTACTTTTTAGATCCATCTTGACTGTACGATCCTTAGAAAAAAAATTATAATTTGTTGAATATTTTTTTTGAAAAAAGTTCAAAAAAGACAAAAAAAAAAGCCAATTTTTTAAGGCTATTATTTGATAAAATTTGACTTATTTTCATCTTTAGTAAACATTTTCAAAATTGACTCAATTGTTTTAATTTTTAGAATCGACTAGTCGAGGCAGACCTAAAAAGTTAAAAATTTTGATTCAGGAATGAAAAAAAGTGTTCAGAAAATACAAAAAATAAGGTGGCTTTTAAGTATTAGCCAAAGGTTACATTATTCATCAAATTTTTTTTACTGAAATTGTTGTATTGGAGTACACGGGCTAACTCTTTTCACTAACAGGTAATAACCAAACAAGCCGCCGTACAAAGGTGCAACGCAACCGTTGATTTCCTTGCAGACAAGAAACCTTTCTTCCCTGCAACCATAAACGATAAACGCTTGCATGAGCATTTTCAAAAAGTTGCAGGGAATATGATCGGAATTCATAACGTCAAGACCATGCAACCCTTGATGGGTTCAGAGGATTTTTCATTCTACCAAGAGGTGATACCCGGATACTTCTTCTTCCTTGGCATGAATAATGAAACAAATGGAAAGCTTGCATCAGCCCACTCACCCTACTTCAAAATCAACGAAGATTCACTTCCTTACGGAGCTGCTCTTCATGCGTCGTTAGCCTCTTCATATCTTCTTGAACTCCAACCTAGGACTACAATCCCAATCAGTGAAGAACATCATGATGAACTGTGACGTTCTTTCTTGAATTGTTTTGATAATCAACATGGGCCCTAAATTTCTCAGGGTCTGTTACTGTTGAATGTAACAAATAATAGCTCGGACTTAGGTTTTTTCAGGCAAATTTATCTGCAAGAACTGTGTTAAATGTTCGTCAACAACAAAGAAAATTATTGTACCTGATGTTTTGACATTGCTACAGTGACATATATACTTGGTTGTCAGTTGATCTGATGACAAGAATGTTACCAAGTCTTGAATTATATGTGTTTTGTTCTTCTTGATGAGCATTCTAGTGAAATTTCGCTGTGTTCAGATTGCTTCTAAGACAATATTATGCTTGCCAACCCAAGGATTAGCAATGTTCAAATTTCAAATGGTATTGTTTTGCTTATCCTTTTCCAAATGGTATCACCTTCACACCATGTATATGACACCAACATTTTACCTTCTCAAACCGCCTTGATTGCCACTAACAGCCTTGATTGCCATGACCGCGGTACACTGCCTATTTTTTGGAAATTTCAAATACGATTTAACTGCCTTGATTGCCACGACCGTGGTGCAGTGCATATTATTTAAAAATTTCAAATATCTTCTATCTATACTATTATAAAGTGAACACAATTTATGGTGTCATGAAGCTTTACTTTCCTCATGCCATGTGGCAGTATTTTTTATTTTTTAAAAAAAAGTTAAACAAAGAGATGGACAAGACTTGAACCCATGACCATGGGTTTAAGAATAGGGACTCATACCACTTAAGCTAAGTACACATTATAATATTAATTTCATTTTTATTTTCTTTTATTCCTATTTATTTAAATTGCACGCGTATCGCGTGTGCGCGGCCGCTAGTAATTTATATATGTAGCCTATGAAGATTTCAAATACAATTTATATAGGGCAAATTTCATTTTACTTTCTGTAGTTTGAGTCGGGTGTGGATTATCCTGACATTCGAAAATCACCACATAACCCTCATGTGTTCAGTTAACAGAAGTTATAAATTGACAATTATACCATCATTTTCATCTTCTTCTCCCTCTCTTCATTTCATCATTTTCATCTTCTTCACAATTCACTGCCCAAACTTTACATATATATACATATATACCTTATATGTGTACATATATACATAAACAATCTTATGTGGTGTTCAATGATTAGCAATCATATGTATATATATATATACATACAACAAATGCAAAAATAAAATCAATATTTTTTTTTTTAAAACATAACACAAATATATATATATATATGGATAAAACTTGAGCATATAGAGTTTTTTTTCAATCTTCACTATGCATCTGTATGTATGTGTATGTCAAAATCGTGCATCTATAAATGTGTGTCAATCTTCATCAGATGGTTTGATATATATATATATATATATATAATGATATATATGTATATGAATGAAATCATATATATATGGATAAAACTTATTGAAAAAAAAAAGAGCGAAGATGATGATTCTAGAAAAACATATATATATATAATGATATATATGTATATGAATGTATATGATTTCAGCAAAATAAATATCTAATGATGTTTGTGTATATATATATATGAATGTATATATGTTTGTATGACCAGTTGCTAATGGTTGAAAAATAGAAATAGGAAAAGAATGACATCCTTTTGTAAATTTGAAGAGGTAAAAAGGTATTTTCGTCGTAAAAATTGACTCGCTCTCTATAGAGGCGCGTGATTTTCACATTCTGCTATCTTAGACAGAAAAGCTAACAATGCGTTTTACATGGGAGTTATGTGGTGATTTTCGAATGTCATGAGGTAATTCGCACTCGGCTCAAATAACACGAGGATAAAATGAAGTTTGCCCATATAAATATATATATATCTAGCCTGTTGTCACGAATGACAAGTTGTACCACTATAGATTAAATGAGCATTCTTTTTTTTTTTTTTTTTGAACGGGCGAAATCTGAAGCAATTACAAAACATCAAACCTTAACAGATCCTCCATAGGAGAAGGGGGAGAGCTAGCCCATCCCAAAGGTAGAGCACCTTGTAAATGAGTGGAAGCAATCCAGTGAGCAACGCCATTTGTGGCTCTAGGGGTCCAAGAGAAAGAGAAAGAGGTTCCCAATCCCATTGAGCGAATGTCTAGAATGCAAACTCGACAGTCCCATGGGGGAACCAACCCTGTCGTATTTAACTCAATCACTGATTTGTTATTGCTTTCCACTTGGACGTGCAAAAGACCAAGGGCTTGAATGAGAATGCACGCGAGTCTAGCTGCCATGGCTTCGCTTTGTAAGACTGAAGAAGTATGGACTGAGCAGACCCTGCCATCAACTAAAGTACCCTTCCAATCTCGTAAGACAACCGCAATGGAGGCTGTCCTCCCATCTGAGGTGAAGCTGGCATCACAGTTTGCCTTGAGAAAGCCTCGATAAGACGGATGCTAGGAAGGGTGGGACTGAATGGACTGAGTGCTCGTTGAGGGGGAGACTTCTTCTTGAACACCATGGCAGTAAACTTCCCTCCAAAGGGACGCTGCTTGCCGAACCACTTGTGCGGGCTCTATTGGCGAATGATTGAAAACCCAGTCATTACGAGCTTTCAAGATAAACCAGCCCACAACTGTGGCCCTGTCTACTCTGTCTTTCCTTTCTTTATCATTAGTGCAGTTCTCAAAGAGAGATACAGTCCAGGCTCGTGCAGAGGAGGTGACACCAATGCTTGATAAGAAACCTAGATCAGACCCAAACCAGACTGCTCTGGTCCAGCTGCAATGAAAAAGTAGATGTTCAATCGTTTCCGTGACAGCCCCACAGATAGGACAGGATGGAGATGTGGCACAACGACGGCGATAAAGGTTGTCTTTGGTGGCTAGCTTGTTGCAACAGACCCGCCACCAGAAATTGCGAATCTTTGGTGGAACATGGAGTGCCCAAATTAATTTCCAGAAGTGCTTAGGAGGTTGGGTCGAGGACGAAGCGCCAGAGCTACCCATGAAAGGGTGATCCTCAAGGGCTAGCTGATAACCGCTACGAACTTCATAGATACCCAATTTCGTGTAGTGCCAAACAAGGGAGTCTCCCTGGCCAGCCAAAGAAATTGGTATAGAAGAGATAGCTTGGGACTCTTCTTCTCCCACCAAAGCTCGTAACTTCCGGATATTCCATTCCTTTCGGAATTGATGAATCACATCACCCACCATGTGCACCTGACAGTCCCTGGGTTTAGGCGTGTGAACTCGGAAATTCCTAGATTGTGGTACCCATTGATCTTCCCAAAACCGAAGAGAGTGACCGTTGCCGACCTGCCATCGTAAACCTTTCCTGAGGAGCTCTCGACCTTGAAGAATACTGGAGCAAGCTCAAGAAGGGCTTCTACCCCTAGATGTTGCTAGGATATTCGAATCTGGGTAGTAGACTCCTCTCAACAACTGAGCACAAAAGGAATGCGGTCGAGTGACAGTCTCCAAGCCTGTTTCGCAAGAAGGGCTAGGCTAAAAGCTTTGAAATCTCTGAAGCCCATCCCTCCCTTAGATTTAGCCACCACCAAACTGTCCCAGCTTGCCCAGTGAAGGCTTCGGGTGGAAGGAACGCCTCCCCATCAAAAATTGCTCGTATAGGAGTTTAGACTATCACAAAACTTCTTGGGAAAAGCAAATCAAGCCATTGCATAAGCGGGTATAGCTTGCACAACAGATTTTACATGTTTCCATCATTGCATTTTGCTCACAGCTTTCTCCTTTAAAAAACCAAAAGCTTCAGATTTTGATCTACCCCAAAAGGAGGGGAGCCCCAGATATTTTCCATCATGAATGGAAGGGATGTGCATGAAAGCACAGATTTTGTTCTTCACCACCTTTGAAGTTTTTGCCGAGAAGACGATCCCTAAGAGCATCTCCAACGGTACTAGGCATTTTACCTATCTAAATATTACTATAAAGTATATATTTTATTTTGCCTATCAATTGTTTTATGTTTTTACTCCAACCATGCTCTTTATTTTAGCTATTAATCCAAATACTATTAATTTTATAGAATGCCACGTCAACAACAAAGATGGAGGGAAATGATCCTAATGATTGAATACATTTTGCCTAGCGTTGAAGGCTAGCTACATGTAGCTAGTGAATATGAGTTGAGCCAAAATGCCTAATCATATGCCTAGTGCGTTGGAATTGAAAAAAGTGAATCACACTAGGCATTTTAACTAACAAGTATTATATGCCTAGTGCCTTGGAGATGCTTGCCACTATTATACCGAAGTTCTTGCAACATAAATAAATAACACATTATGGAAAAATAAGTCATTCCTATGTTTTTTGATTTATATCCATTAGTATTCTCTTTTAGTTAGGATATTATTCATGGGTTGATTTTATTTTATTTTAAAGCAAAAATGTTCCTTACATTTTCAAAAATTTAGGGACAAAATTGAATTGCAAAATCTTTAAAACAATACAATTTGGTTCTAATTCAATTCCACAATTATAGGCTAGACAATTCATCACTATACCTGTCTATCTAGTTCAATAAAAATTGATTATACATAGACGAGCATGCTAAAAATTTTATAAACATAGTTCAGTTTTTTAGAATATTCTTCAAATTATAGAGTATTTATAAAGTGTAAAAAAAAAAAAATCTTCATGTTATATGGCTTTGTTTGGAAAGTGGGTTGACTTTTTCGTTTTTTGATTTTTTTGATTATTTTAACTTGGGTTAAAAAGTTTGGTTGAGAATGATTTTTTAACTTTTTAATTTTTTTGACTTTTTTTTTGTAAAAAAAGAGTGTAATGATTATAGTTTGGATGTGATGTTTTGTTTGTTATAACTAAAATAGCATATTTTATCTTTTGTGGTTAAAATAACCAAAAAAAACCCATAAACCATCTTTCCAAACGGAGCTATAGTAATCACTATAAAAATAAAATACCGATATTATAAAAAGTATAAAATTATATAAATAGTGACAAAAATTATACACCGCTATTTTTGTATAGATAGCAAAATATTTTGTAAATATGATGAATAAAATGAAGTTTGAAGAATAGAATACGAAAAAATGATAAATACCAATTTCATGGAACGGTTTTCAATTTTTTGAGTTTTTAGTTCATAAACCAAACCATTATCAACGGTTCTTAATTTGTTTAGACCAACAATCAAATTGTACCTTCGGAAAACTAGACCTTACATTTTGACAAAATTTTTTTTGAATACCCCTACCTTTAATAGTATATTACAATGATTGTAATTAATGCATACATTATAAAGACATATAGATAAATAATATAAAATATACATTTCAATATGAAACATAAGCTAAATTACATTTTGTCCCTTTATGTTTTATTATTTTTTTATTTTGACCCTTCATGTTGTAAATTTTTTTAATTTACTCTTATGTCTAATTTTTGTCTAAAATTAAATCAAAAAATGCTACATTGACGATAATACATTTTTTTATGTTATGTAACAACCAACATGGTATTTTTATTCTAATTTTAGACAAAAGTTAGTTTTAAAATAAAATTTAAAATATTAAGAGGCAAATTGAGATTAAAAAAAATGATAAAACATAAAAAGAGCTACGTGTCATTTTCCCTAAAGAATAATGCTTGGGACCTCCTTTTGGGGGTCACCCCCTCACCCCCTTTTGCCACGTGGCAGGGGGTGATTGGAGGAGCAGGAAAAAAAAGAAAAAAAAAAGAAAAGGTAACAAATGAGAGAGAGAGGGGGTCAAAGGGGGTGGGGGGAAAAGAGGGGATGAATCATTACTCTTCCCTAAAAGTATGACAACGTTATGTCAAACTTGTGGGTTCAATGTATTTTATCTAAACTTTAGGGGACGTTGATGTAATTTACTTTTACACTATAAATATCGAAACAAAAAATGGTTGAAACCATTGTTTGGTTTTTCAAGAAACCCTAGAAAGACTCGCGGATGATCGATATCGCAGTCCTCAACAAAATCGAAGGTACTCTTCACTCTTACATGGTATTCAGAAAATCAATTTATAATCTTCATTGTTTTGTTGATTTTTGTTCTGGGTTTCAAATCTTGATTGATGGTTCGAAAACGATTGATATAGTCATAATTGATTGTAAATTATGTATTATAATGTAAAAGATATCAATTTTAACCCGTATATATATATATTTATGTGATGTTTGAGTTTGTTTATTTGGTTACTTCATCGTTATGAATTCGTGTTCTTGACTGAAATTTTATATTTACAAGCCTTTGAATTATTGTGTAGATGTATGTGTATATATGGAATTTTTTGTTTTTGTGGATTTTGTGCGTACCCAAAAATTGTGCAGAAGAAAAGCTGTATTCGCAAAAGGGAAATGCTAACCTTAATATTTTAGATTTTTTTGTCAATTTCAAAAAAGAAAAAAAAAAAAAAAAGGGGGGGGGGGGGGGGGGAGTGTATAAGTATGTGAAGATGTATCAAATATGTAAAAGTACATAGAAACGTTTGCCAAATCAAAAACTAAAAATGCAAAGAATCTATAAAATCAACCAACAAAAATTAATCTGGAAACACTCTCCCAGAAACCCAACCATACAAAACCACCAAGAACCGGTTCTACAAAATAGGCATTTGGGGAGGGGGGGATCAAGATGATGCAAACAATACAATGTTTGCCAAATCAAAACTAAATATGCAAAGAATCTATAGAATCAACCAACAAAAATTAATCCGGAAACACTCTCCCAGAAACCCAACCATACAAAACACCAAGAACCGGTTCTTCAAAATAGGCATAGAAAGTCCCCCTCCCCGGTTGGAAAATCCACCTATTGCGTTCCAACCAAAGCAACCACATTAGAGTACTAAAATTTTTGTCATTATTCACACCTTAATAAGCAAGACCATTGGCAATGTGTGTGTGTATATGCATGAAATGTGTATATGGAATTTTTTGTGTTTGTGGTTATTGTGTGTACCCAAAAATTATGCAGAAGAAAAAAGCAATATTGGCAAAAGGGAAATGGTAACCTTGATATTTGTGTAAAACGTGTTTTATTTATTTATGGGAGTGTAAAAAGTGTATTAAAATATTTAAAAAATGTGTAAAAATATGTTGGAAGTGTATAAAAATATGTGAAATGTGTATTAGAGTACTAAATTTTTCATCATTATTCACACCTTAATAAGTACCATTGCTGCCTGCTGTAATATGTGATGATGATAATATATATCATGTATTTGCATGCAGATTTGTACCAAGTCTCTGAAAAATGTTATGGAAGAGAGTTTCACAACAAAAACTTCTCGGCAGGAAGCATCCTACTGGCAAACAGAAAAAAGTTTCAAATACCATGAATTGGGCCTTGCTAAAGAAGCCAAAGAGAAAGGTTTTAAACATTGCAATGAATCGATTTAGGGTTAAAAAAAAGCGAAAGATAAGAGATGTTAACGGCGGGGGTGAAAGAACTGGCAATTTTGATCGGATCTCAGAATTGCCTGAGCCCATTATCCATCACATTCTCTCTTTCCTTCGTTGTCCCAAAGATGTTGCTCGAACTAGTGTCTTGTCTAAGAAGTGGAGAAGAATATGGACTTCCTTCCTCACGTTTGATTTTGATCAAAAGTGTTTCAAAGCACAAAAAGCAGAGTTCAAACAATTTATCGAACACTCCTTATCAACCCGAATTGCGCAATTGGTTTGTATAAAGAAGTTCAGGCTGCACTTGACTTCTTTTGATTCAAAATGGACCCATCATATAGACCGCTGGTTATGTGCTGCTACTGCAAAAAAAGTTGAAGAGTTAGAAATTTATGTTGGGATAAAGAAAAGGAGGTGTTACAGTTTGCCTCGGATTGTACTGGCTGCAGAAACATTAACTTCATTGAAGTTATATGGGTGTAAGTTGGTTAATTACAATAATATAAACCTTCCTAATCTGAAGCAGTTATCTATAAAGAAAGTGCGTATAGATATGAATATTATTCAGAGTTTTATTCGTCGCTGCCCCTGGATTGAGGATTTGAGATTGATACTCTGCACTGGGTTGGACCGTCTTCATGTTTCAACTCTTATTAAACTTAATAGGCTTGAGGTACACGAGTGCAATGGGCTCAAGTGGGTTGAGATTGAAGTATCGAGTCTTCAAACTTTTTGGTGCTGCGGGAAGAGGACTACACCATGCAATATTAACTTGGATAGGTGTAAAAATCTAAGAAGTTTGACATTGAAGGATGCCAAAATGACAAGTGAGTTGTTTCAGGATCAGATTTCTAAGTTTCCGGTCCTTGAGAAGTTGGTCTTGAAGGAATGTCATACCCTAGAGAGAATTATAATTTTTAGTGAAACACTCAAGAGACTAACCCTTATACGATGCAAAAAACTATATGCCATTATTGATGCTCCAAATTTACAATCTTTTGAGTACACTGGTTATCAAATGCCTATCTTTCCAATGGGGCAACCGAATCTGCAGGAAGCCAAGTTTTATTTTGAATCGATGATGGAAAAAGATGAGAAGAATAAACATGCCTTTGAAGGTCATAACATTAACTTGTTAAATAAGTTTCTGGAATCTCTGGGGAAGTTTAATCAATCCGAAAGTTTGAAATTGGTTGTACGCCATGATAAGGTATTAATTATTTGGATTCTTTTGGTATTTTATAGTTATTATTAATATATTAACTTTCTCATGTGTTTTTCCTTGTTTGCATTGATTGACGTGGTATTTGAAGGATGTGATTGTTTGTGAGGAATTGAGAGATATCCAACTTCTTCCATTCTATGATCTCAAGTTAGAAATAATTAATTCATCAACAAGTTTAAAAGATCTTCTTGACAGTTTGTTACGGACAACTCGCCCAGAGAATCTATCTGTAGTATCACCCTCCAACAGCGAATTCCTAAAGGTATTGTTGTTCATTCCCAGATTTCATTACACATTTGCAGTGCAAAAACAAGGTCCTCTTTTCCCAATTTCATTACATGCATAGGTAAGGATGTGAGAATATAGACACTTTCAGATCCTCGCTTTTTTCTACGATGTTTGAAAATGAAAACCTCACATTTGCTTGTAAGCCTCTTTCATGGATAAGAGATATAAATTCTATATTTTTCCAAATTTTATTTAATTTTAAATACGTTTCTACATAATTTGCAGATCTTTTTTAAGAATATTATACAATATGCAATATGTGTCAATGACGTTTCCTTGTACCCATATCCAACTTTTGGATATATATTACACTATTCTAAAACTTAGGTTTATGAAGGTTTGATGCTTGGATACTTACCCATACCCAATACTTATACCCCGAGTCCATGTAACATAGCATGCATGTAGTGTAATAATAACGAGGTCCTCATACTTTTTAAATTTTGCTTCTCATCTACTACCACAGCATAATATGTTTTTTTTTTGGGGGGGTTAAACAAGAGAAGTTTATGAAAAACCTTGAACTTGGACCTTCTAAAAACAATGTTAATTTTGTTTTTTTCACTTGAATTGCAGTTCCTACCTGAGAAAATGATGAACAGAGAAGCGAATCTACTCTGCTGTAGATATTACTGGAGGAAATGCTGGTGGCATTACCTAAAAGCTGTTAAAATTGAAAATGAATGGACTTCAGTTATGAATCCTTTGAAAAAGCCATCTTCAACTCTGCATCAGACTACTACTTTTAAGTTGGAATGGACAGAGGGATGAACATGCTATGGAGGTTTAGGTACATAATTTGTGTTTTCTAATGTCATGCATAGTTGGAATTAATTGAATTCTTGGTGATCATCATACTTTTTATTGAATTCCTCTCTTTTTATTGGCTCCCATTGTACATTATGTCATATATGGATCAATATGGTTCTTGTTAAGTTGTTGCAATTCAAATTTGTTGAAAATTTAGGTTGTTATGGAATATATATGATGGTATGACATGAATCTAGTTGAGAAGAAAGAAGTGCCAAATTCTGTTTTTAGTTGACAGAATCGGATGTCAGAAGGCAATATGAATCCAAGGAGATGAGTGTGAAAGTTCTTTTTCTGTATTGTTGGGGCAAGAACAGTGTGTGTTTGCAAGCATAAAATCTAATGGATGCATATGAACAAAGAGTTACAAATAGGGAAGCCCATTTTTAATATTCTACATGACAGGAAACTACAACCTGTAAATTATCCCCCGTCTCTCTCTGTCTTTCTCTATGCAAATGCATCTGATGCTTGCCACAGATACATTATGGCTTAATGTTGACTGAGATTGCAAATTATAGAGTTTTCATCCAATTAACACATGGCAAATGCTATTTAGTGCTCCTGTGACATTGTTTAGTATTGTGATTGATGTGAAAAATATTTTGAAAATATTGAAAATGAGTTTTAAAGTCCTTGAAATATTTTGAGATTTGCCAAATGACTTGTGTTTTTTTTTTAAAAAAAAAAAAAAAAAAATGGTTAGTGGCATTTTGTTAGCAAAACTATAAACAATATACTCTGCTAATTGTGAAAAGTGAGGGTGTGTTTGCACCGCTAACATGGCACCAAAAAAGTGTTTTAAGCACAAAACAAAATCAAATTTCTTGGATAAACCTAGAATGGAATAAGGTACTTGTAGTACATGTCACTTGTTCTGAAGTTCTGTATATCTTTTGAAAAAAGAAAAAAACAAAAACAGAGCCACCCCTTTATCAAACATTTCACCATCTTTTCTTCTCTACTTTGCATCTAGGTTTTTTTAAAAAAAAAAAAATGGTTAGTGGCATTTTGTTAGCAAAACTATAAACAATATACTCTGCTAATTGTGAAAAGTGAGGGTGTTTTTGCACCCGCTAACATGGCACCAAAAAAGTGTTTTAAGCACAAAACAAAATCAAATTTCTTGGATAAACCTAGAATGGAATAAGATACTTGTAGTACATGTCACTTGTTCTGAAGTTCTGTATATCTTTTGAAAAAAGAAAAAAACAAAAACAGAGCCATCCCTTTATCAAACATTTCACCATCTTTTCTTCTCTACTTTGCATCTAGGCTTTCCTTATTTTCCCTGCATATCCATGGTATGAAATTTCAAAACTCTTTTACTTTTCAATCTTCTATCAAATATATGGGTTTGAAACTTAACCTATGTATTACTTACTTCCCATTTGATTGGCTCTATTTACTTATTTTTATTTTCAATTTGTTTTCTTCGTATGTAGATAATATATCATGAGAATAATTAACTTATAACAAACTATAATTATCATTGTTGAACTTTGATTCTCTAATCAATCGGAATTTCATATTTCTATTAGATCCTCTCTATCTCCAAATTGAGTTTGTATATGTAGATGTCTGCAAAATAATTAACGCAAGCTTACTTGACTAATCTCATAAGTAAAGACCTCTGCAATAGACTTGTTCGGATCTATGATTTAAGTACTATTTTATAGCATGATTGTCTCTTTTTTTTCCCCTTCTTTTTTTGAGAATCAGAAAGCATGCAATATATTAAAATAAAAAACAGAATACAAGTACAATAAAAGAAAAAATTAAAAATAAATGACAAAAAGTCACAAAAAACAGCAACGACTTGAGAAATCCAGATTTACTCACAATGTGGTCAGGACTATACTCTTAAGGATGGAAGATCTGTCTCAAGCATAAAATCATACCCCCTCGTCGTCACTGAAGCCGTTCGCCGCCACCACTGCTTGAACTCTACCACTATATAAATGATCGTCTCTTTTTATATTTGATCTTTGTTAAAAATAAATGGATCAAAATTTTGCACTCATTGTTTAAAACATTAACCCTAATGGTTCAATTAAAAAAGAAAGAGCCATAGGTTAAATAACAAAATGCAATGGAGTTCCCTACTCTCTTGAATCGTCATTGCAATCACATCATTCGAGTAACTCTTGTATCACAAGTTTTGCATCTGGAGGACTTTTTTTTTTTTCTTCTTGAAATTTGATTCGCAATTTGAATTCATAATTGTACAAGCATTTAACAAAGAATTGAATTTGTTGAATTTTTTAAGAGTAAATTACAACACTGATCACTTTAATTTGAACAAAATTTCAATTTGATCATTGTAGTTTTAATTTGAACAATTTAATTCTTACACTTTTAATTTTGTTATAATGTGATTTCTCAATCATGCGTTGACAACATTCTGAAATAACAAAAAATTCACGTACAAAACTAGGCTAAAGTGGAATTCAAAATAAACTAGCACTTTATTCCTTGTAATTTTTAAACAATTTGATCTCTATACTTTCAATTTTGTTGTAATGTGGTCTATCCCTCGGTCACTAGAATTTGTAACGGAAAAAAATCATGTGCAAAACTAAATGGACCAAAGTGAAGTTCAAAGCAAATTTCAAGAACCATCAGTATAATATATTTATTACACTATCACCACACCACTATCACCACCACCACCGCACCCTACCACCGCCACCACCACCACTAATATAATCAACCCCCAGTATATTAATTTCAAAATTATAACTAAATATAAGAAAAGATGTTTTTGAATAATCATTTTTTAAAATAATTTTTCCCCAAAGAAATTGAGATTTTCTGTAATGTTCATCTGCTTGTTTTCTTGTACGCGGTTGAGCCAAAAATAGTGCTTTCAACCATAATTTCTATGATTGTGTTTGGATCATTGATTTGGATAGAAATTTGAAAAAAAGAAAAGAAAAATGTAGATGAAATATGTATGAAATATAATTATATTTCACCTACTTTTTTTCATTTTCATTTTCATTTTCAAATCCCTACCAAAATTCATGATTCAAACTTACAAATAGGGAAAGCCCATTTGCAATATTCAACTGACAGTAAACAACTGTAAATCATCCCCACTGAATAAAAATATCACCAATGTTGTGTGAATATTGCATAAAAAATGATGTGACAGTATTATTTGTATTATCAAAAGCAATAAGCTCAAAACCTAGCCAAATCATTATGTATAAGTTTTATGTATGAATTTTCTGTCTATATATTGCTACACTACACTCCCACTAAATAAATTCAAAAAAACAGAAAAAGAAAAAAGAAGACTTGTTTGGGTGTTTTTGCACCACAAACATGGTACCAAAAATGTCCTTATGCACTAGGCAAAAGCAAAATTCCTAGATAAACCTAGAAAATGGAATCAGATACTTGTTACTACTTACTAGTATATGTCAGCTGGCTCTGTAGTTCTTTTGTATATCATCAAACAAAACACAGCCATCCCTTTTCTTTCATCGTCTCTACTCAGCATCTAAGCTTCCTTACTTTCGCTGTATATCCATGGTATGAAATCTCAAAAATCTATTACTTTTCAATCTTTATCAAGTATGGGGTTGAGACTTAACCTATGTATTACTTCTCTTTGGATTGGCTCTACTTATTTTCTTTATTTTCAGTTTGTTTTTCTTCAAACATAGATAAGATAACCAAATATGTATGTATATATGTACACATATGAGCTATAGTTATCATTATAGAATCAATTTGATTCTCTGAACAATCAGAATTTTGTACTTCTGCAGGATCCTCCCTATCTCCTAACAATCAATGTTCTAGGACTTAAAATTTTATTGCGAATGTTTCGGTGTTATACTTAGGTTGGAAAACCAAGAGACATCATCGAAAATCTTCTTTCTTTTCCTTTGTTGACAACTAAGGCAAGTCTACTCAACTAATCTCATAAGTAAAGGCCTATTATTTGCATTGCAACTAATAGAAAAGAAGAAAAACAAAAAATAAAAAACTAGGGTAGACTAGTAGTTGAATGACTCAACCTTCTTGTTCAGGGCTATGATTTAAGCAATCTCAAATGGCATTGTTGTCTCTGGTATATGTATGATTGTATATGATGGTATTACAGGAGGGTGAAAAGGATCAAGCTGGTGGGAAAAAGTTGAGCATAGTTGTGGGACCATGGGGCGGTAATGGCGGAAACTATTGGGATGATGGCAGTTACAGTGGGGTGAGAGAAATCACACTTGCTTATGACCGCTGTATTGATTCAATCCGCGTGGTGTATGACAAGAATGGCAAGCCTGTTGCAGCAGAACAACATGGAGGTGTCGGAGGGACTAGAACGGCAGAGGTAAAAACTTGATCCATGATTCCATAAAAAACTTTCATTTCTAAGTAAGAAGTCTCTGATATTGGAAAGTTTTGATGTGAAAATATCCACATAGGATACGAAAGAGCTCTAAGCTCACAAAATACAATCTTAAAATGTCATAAACCTGACTCCTAAAGACCATAACCACCTATTTATAAGCTAAAGGTGAACTAAATGGTACTCATTAACCTTTGCACTTTGGTGTTGCAGATTAAGCTGCAATACCCGGAGGAGTTCTTAACAAGCGTTAGTGGCCACTATTGTCCGGTGGTGTATGGCGGCAGCCCTGTGATCCGATCGCTCACGTTCAAGAGCAACCGAAGAAGCTACGGGCCATTTGGAGTCGAAGAAGGGACCCCATTTTCTTTTTCAATGGATGGAGGCGTAATGGTGGGCTTCAAGGGGAGGAGTGGATGGTATGTGGATGCAATTGGCTTCCGATTGTCCCGTGCCCAGTCAACAAAACTCTATCAGAAGGTTCATCGGAAGCTCAAGAAACTCATGAGCACCTCGTCCCCATCTTCAGCCCCGAAAGATGGTGAAGAGCCTGTGTAGACTCACCGAAAGTTAAAAGCCACAATGAACCCCTATTTATGTTCTCAGCAGTCGAGCTGTTTTTCTCATTATTGTATTAGATCATTATCTGTTGAAGTCTGTAAAATAGATGGAATGGTAATTTGAAGGGACTTCTGTTTCATAACAATAAAACAATTATAAAGAAGATGAAGATCTATTTATCAGTTTAAAGATAATTCATGTCACAACAATAATCATGAAACTCTGATCTTCACAAAGTTACTGCTCAAGTAATTCGACCTTCTTGTTCTAACTCCTGAACTTGTGTTGCACACACACACACATGGAATCATCCATACACCACCAAATTTTCCCTAGGCTTTACCTAAAACTTCACTCATCTTTTCAAGGCATCTAATGAATCAAATTAGTCTCCTAGTTTAAACTCTAGTACCTCAATGCTACGTGCACACATGTGAAAACCAATGCTCATGCACCACTCAGTTGTCCCTAGGCTTCAACTAAAGTTCCTAGTATTCTCTCTAATTCATGTAGCTTAACAGATCTCTCCTCAATTTAGATAGTTCTGGGAGGTCTCCCTACCTCTTGGCCTACATAATTAACGTATACAAGGGCTCAAGTTTCGATTGATATTTGCGGAGTTGATCATCCGTCTCAAAAACATCAACTGTGCTACATTATTCACTATAAGGTTTTCCTCATCTAAATAATGCAAATTGTGTCTACACTAGAAATTCCTAGGTCTCTGAGATCTTAAATTATAGAGCTCTCATCCAATTTTTAACATCAGGCAAATGTTAATCTGTTCTCTGACACATAATTTAGTATTGGGATTGGGGAAAAGTATTTCGAAAATAGATTAAATGTTAAAAAGAGTGTCTTCTTCTTCTTCTTTGTTAGCAACATCAATAACAAAGTACTCCACTAATTGTAAAAAGTGAGGTGTTCTTGCACCACTAACATGGCACCAAAAACGTGCTTATGCACAAAGCAAAACCAAAATTCCCGGATAGACTAGAAATGGAATCAGATACTTGTAGTTATATATCATCACCACTTGCCTTGACAGAAAACAATAAACAAAACAAAAAACATAGCCATCCCCTCTATCACACATTCTGCATCTTTTCATCCCTACACAGCATTTAGCTTCCTTACTTTCCCTGTATAGTGATGGTATGAAATCTAGGAAGTCCTTAGTTTTTCATCTTAATCAAATATAAGTTGAAACTTAACCTATGTCTTCTCTTAATAATTAACTTCACCTCATATGGCACATGTTTTTTTTGCGTATTATGATTAAAGCGATCTCTTATAGCACAGTTGTCTCTGGTACATGTATGATTGTGTATGATAGTATTACAGGAGGGTGAAAAGGATCAAGCTGGGGAGAAAAGGATGAGCATAGGATGATGGGGCGGTAATGGTGGAACCTATTGGGACGATAGTGGTTACAGTGGGGTGAGGGAAATCACACTTGTTTATGTTCAATCAGTGTGGTGTATGATAAGAATGGGAAGCCTGTTGCAGCAGAAAAACATGGAGGTGATGGAGGTGTTCTAACGGCTAAGGTAAAAACTCAATCCTTGATTCCCCAAAACCAATTGTTTCACTCTAAGATGTCTCTGATATTGAAAAGTTTTGTGATGGTAGTCATCAAGCTTTACACTTGGTGGTGTTGCAGATTAAGCTGCAATACGCAGAGTTCTTAATGAGCATGAGCGGCCACTAATGCTCGGTCGAGTATGGCAGAAGTCCTGTTATCCAATCGATCACCTTCAAGAGCAACCAAAGAAGCTACGGTCATCTGGAGATGAAGAAGGGACTCCATTTTCTTTTTCGATGGACGGAGGTGTAATCGTGGGCTTCAAGGGGTGGAGTGGTTGGTATCTGGATGCAATTGCCTTTCGTTCGTCCCGTCTCCAGACGACAAAACTCTATCAGAAGGTTCAACAGAAGCTTAAGAAACTCGTGTCTTAGCTTAAAAAGGTGGTGAAGAGCCGTGAATGATTCCTGGTGTAACAATGAATCCCTATTTATGTTCTCAGCAGTTCAGCTGTTTTCCCACTACTGTATTAGATCATCGTCTGTTGAAGTCTGTAAATGTAAGATATTCAACAATAGTTCTGGGTTTCAAGTATAGTCGGTCAGTCCCCTTCAGACAGATCCAGAGAGACAGAGAGAACACACACACACATAATTTCCTTGTAAACAATAACACCCAAGACAATTAGAATCAATTTAAAACAATACAAATTACGCTATGCTTGACAACCAAAATATAGCTCACATGGCTTCCCTCAGCCAAGATGCAAAAAGTGTCCAAGAGAATAAAACATAAGCCCATATTACAGTTCAATAAAACAAAACTTAATGCTATGCTTGGGTGGCTCAGAAATAGAAGAGAACAATTAAAATAAAGATTTCAATCTAGAACATCACATTATGATTTGGGAAAAAAGTAAACTTCTCAAAACAAACAAAAGAACATAAACTTAAATACGTTGTTTCATTTTCTTCTCCTCAAGTCTTCCTAGCCACCAAATGGTGGTGGTAACATTAAAAGTTTTCATGGACTGAGACCAAATTGAGAACTCTCTTTTCAAGACCAATCTTTAAATAACCACTCATTCGTCTAATTACAAAATTCCATCCAATAGTGATATCAAAACATACCAACATCAGTTTCCCAATAAGTGTCCATCCTTCTGTAATCTTCAAATTTAATTAAACAACTTATTGGACCAAGAACTAAACAAGTTTATTTTCAATACTGATAAAACAATAATGCAGAGTAGAAAGATCTATTTCTCCGTTTAAAAATATTTCATGTCACAACAATTACATCATGAAACACTGATCTCCACAAAGTTACTACTCAAGTAATTCGACCTTGTTTGAACTCCGGAATCTCAGTGCTGCACACAGACACACACATAGAAGCATCCAATACACGACTATATTTTCCCTATGCTTCACTTAAAACTTTAATTAGGTTGTAAAAACTGTTCTTTGCAATGTATTTGATGAATCAAATTATTCTGAGAGTTTAAACTCTAGTTACCTCAATGCTCTGTGCACAGAGACGTCAAAATGAATGCTCATGCACCACTCAGTTGTCCCTAGGCTTCAACTAAGCTTCCTAGTATTCTCTCTAATTCATATATATAGCTATCTCTCCTTAATTCTTTATAGTTCTGGGAGGTCTCTCAACCTCTTGGCCTACAGAATTTTCGATTGTACTACATCATTAGCATGATATTTTCCTCGTCTAAATAAACTAACAGGATATTTAAGAATAATGATTTTCTCTCACACTTCAAATTTCAACGTTCCCTCACAAGTTCTTAGTATTATAACACAAGTCAATATGCCGCATTCACCCACAAGGTTCAAAACTGGCTCTTACAAGTTGTGTGTGCACGTGTGCACATACAAACATGACACAGACAACATAATTCAATCACTAGAAAAACACCAAATTTAGCAATACTAATGGCATGCCCAATGAACATATTCGTACTCTAAAGCAAGCAATGCACGATCAATGAAGAATTTAGAAACTGTACAAGGGATAGAGAACCCAGAAAAAATAAGTCCTTCCAGAATCAAAATTCTGCCACTACCAATGTTTTTACTAAGAAAATTCCAAATAATCTGTACTAAATGCACCTCAGATTTACATTGAAAACTCATATCTAAATTCATTCCTTTCATATAACTGCAACTATAACAAGAAGAAAAACTGCTGCAAGTGTAAAATCCTGGTGCCAGAATTATATATATATATATATATATATATGCAGCAGCATAGACACAAAAACACATCTAAATGAGTGTTTTCTCTGTAAAGGTACAATCTTTTCATGAGCATAAATCTAAACAATATCATATATATATATATACACATGAAACCTACATTGCAATTCAAGAGATGGAATAGGGCAAAACATCTGGACACAATAATCAAAAGGTTAACATAATAATTGATGATTGCAAATTCAGTCAAATTTACACATTAAGCTCATCAAACAAGTATTAAAAATTTTAAATACAGAGTTCACAATAAGATTCCCATTTTCCATTACCCACGGGCTTTGAGCTCGGCAAGTCGCCTCGATAAGTCATCCTCATCCACCTTCTCCGACGCCTTCACCGCCACCGCGTGCGCCGCCGGCTGCGGCAGCCCCACCGACACCTCGAGTCCATAATCATCCGCCACCTGCTGCATCAAGCTATTCACGTCTCCCTCGGGAGTCGACAGCGATGTGCTTCCGGCCATCGAACTCTCCATAAACTCGGCCTGAACCTCCATATTCACGAACTGTCGCTCGAACTGGTCCATCGTCTCCGACATTTTCTGCAAGTTTCCCGTAGCGAGGGTCGATTCGAGCGATTTCACGATCGAGGACATGGATTTGCTGATTGTGGTCATCTTGGCCTGAGTATCGAGTCTCGCGACCACGGCGTCGAGGCGAGAAGCGAGGCGAAGGTAATTCATCTGTTCGCTTCGCTTGCGGATCGCGTTCTCGGCGTAGATTCGAGCTCCGTCCATGTTTCCTTTCTCGATCGCTTTCTTGACTTTGAGTTTTTCGGATTTCTCGTCTTTCTCGCATTTCTTTGCCTGGCGTTGGAGACTCTTCGCTGTGAACTTGAGCTCCATGATCTGGTTCATCAATCGCTCTGTATTCCCCATTCTTGATCTAGAAGGCGAGGATCTACGAATTGATTGGCGTTTGATCTTTGTGGAATTCTCTTTTTTCTCGCGTTCGAGTTACGGTTTGTTGTTTGGCTCCAAAGAAAATTATTCACCTGGATTGTTTTCACTTTTCAAAAAATATTTTTTAAAAATTTATTTTTTTGTTTTTATTGAATTTTTTTAATATTTTAACAAATTTTTTTATTTTTTAGACACCCCTAACATAAATACACTTAAAAAGTAAAAAATTTGTAAAAAAAATCTTTTAAAAATTCACTAAATATCAAAAATACAAAAAAAAATACAAAAAATTCAGTGCATTTTTTGTATTTTTATATATTTATTAATTTTTTAAAATATTTTTTCACAATTTTTTTACTTTTTAGATGCATCTAAGTAAGGTACATCTAAAAAAGTAAAAAAAATATTTAAAACTAAAAAAATATTCACTAAAAACAAAAAAATATGAAAATCAAAAAAAGTTAGTTTTCAAAAAACTTAGCTTTCGTTTGGCAAGTTGGATTGGGAGCTTTTTTGGCTATTTTAGCCATAAAAGACAAAATAGGTTATTTTAGCTACAAAAAACAAAACATCACATCCAACATATAATCATTACATTCTTCTCTCACAAAAAAAAAAAGCAAAAAAAGTCAAAAAATCTTTCCCAAACCAAGCTTTTTAGCCCAGGCTAAAATAACCAAAAAATCCAAAAAACCAACCCACTTCCCAAACCAACTCTTAATCCAGAAAACTCAAACCAAACACACTGATTTGTATGTGTGATTTTTCCTTCGCTTTCGTTTTCGGATCATGTGCGATGCGGACAATAATTTTGCAGTGAATACGGGTCAGGGTTGGGCTTGGTCCGGGACATTGTGGGTGTTTGAAAAGTGAGTTTTTTTTAGGCTTTTTAAGTTATAGGATATTATTGGATAAAAAATTTTTGTGTCTGAAAACATAGTTAAGCCTGCGTTTGGTTGTGTTTTGTAAATGTGATTTGAGAGTATGAGTTGTATTTTGAGTTTGTGGGTTGTAGAATTATGATTTGAGTGTAGAAAATTTGTTTAGTTATGGTTTTTAAATAGAGTGTTGAATTGTGTTTTGAAAATGTATTTTGAATTAAGTTTTGAAAGTTTGATGTGACATGTGAAAGGTGAAAATTTGTTTGGTGATGTGTTTTGAAAATAGTTTTCAAAACTTAGGGGTTGTTTGGAGTGTCCTAAATAAGTGCACTTTTTGTCTTTTTGGACTAAAAAATTGAGGTTGAAAATATGGATGTTTGGGTTAACTTTTTGACTTTTTATGAAAAAATGTGTAATAAAAAATTGTAAAAATTGATTTGTAGGGAAAAATTCGAATTGGGAGTTGTACAGCCGTAATTGTTGACTATTGGTGAATAGTGTTAACTTTTTAATTTTTTGAATAACTTTTTAGCTTTTTGGCTTTTTTACAAGTTCCCAAACTTGGCCTTAATTCAACCAATAATTTATCATCAAACACACAACTCATATATCGATATCCATATTTTTTATCAACAATAATAACCAAACTATTTTTAAAATATTGAAATTAAAAATTGATTTTTTTTGTCAATTAATTTTTTTTTAGTAATTTTTTTGAATAATTGTTTTTTCCAAATAATTTTTTCATTTTTAAATAAACCTATGTCAATTATTTTTTATATTTTTTTTCCTTTTTTTGTTTTGTTATTTTGTTTTTCAAGTAATTTTTTTTCAATAATTTTTTTGAATAATTTTTTTCTTCAAATTTTGTTTTCATTTTAAAATAAATCTTAGTCAATTATTTTGTACAATACCTTTTTTATTTTTTCCTAAAATTTTGTTAAAATCAACAACTTTTGAGAATACATATTAATAAAAATTAACATAAATACACTAAGGCCAAGTTTGGTAACTCCCAAAAATGTCAAAAAAGTTACTCAAAAAGTTAAAAAGTTATCACTATTCACCAAAAGTCAAAAATTACGACTGCATAACTCTCAATCTTAATTTTCCTCTACACACTAATTTATACAATTTTTTAATACACATTTTTCCATAAAAAATTAAAAAGTTAACCCAAACATCCATATTTTTTCCTCAACTTTTTAGTCTAAAAAGACAAAAAGTGCATTTATTTAGGACACCTCAAACAACCCCTAAGTTTAATATTTTAAAATACAAATCATAACGTAAACCTTACAAAACATTATCAAGTTTTTTTCTCCTTTATTACACGTTATTAATTTTGTAATAAAGTTGTATACGGATGTAATATTATTAAAAAATTAATAATATTATAAAAAAATAATAGATAAGAAATAAAAAGTAAAAAAAAAAAAAAACAAAATGAACCTTCTGAACCTTCTCAACCTAAACCTCCAGATAGTCGAAGAATAGATTGTCAGACCAGGACAACCCGGCGGACAACCGGCCGGTCATCCCATCTCACACCATTTCTCAGTTTCGTATCTGTTGCAACATGGACAACAAGAATATGTTTGATATTTTATTTGTCTAGGATGAAAAATAATATTGTGGACATGGAATCAAACACGGAACAACTTCACGAAAAGGTGTTGGAAAGCATTTCTTGCTGCTATTGATTAAAAAGTGATTTCAGTATAAGAGATAAGATCAAAGAAAAGGAATGAAGTTTTCATAAAGAATAGTTCCAGAATTTTTTTTTGCAGATAATGTCTGTGCAATCTTGAAGTGATGTGGTCAACACTTCTCTTTTTGAGAAGAGAGAGCACATAGAGAAATTACACGTGAAATTTTCAGAGATGATGGAGAAGGACATGGAAGCTTTTCAGATCAAAAGAGGAAGAAGGCAGAAACGTTGAAAGTGGAGATACAAGCTGCCAAACAGATTTTGAAAATGTAATTTAAATTAACACGCGGAATCAACTTTTGAACGTCGCATCCAAACGTCATGCGCGAACTCCCGTGTTGAAAATTGATTTGAATTCACAACCAAACAGAGCCTAACTTTTTTTGTGATTGAATGTAATATTTGTGAGATAAAAAGTGAAATGATTATAGAATTTGATATGATATTTTGTTTGGATTAATTTTTTTTTGTTTTGTAACCAATTTGTCTTTTAGTTGCAAAAAACAAAACCCAAACTTCCCAAACAACCCCATTGTAAAAATGGTAAACTACTCTCATTAGAGCATCTCCAACGGTTTACTTCTTTTTTCATCAAATCTGAGTAAAAAATGATCCATTTCACCAAATCTGATATCACCCACTCCAACGGTGCATCAAATGTCGTGGGGCGACCGATTGGTCAACCGGTGGGTCGACTTGTATGCGTAAAATGCTATTATTTTTATTTTACCCTTTTGAACGGTTTGAACCCAGCTTTCTGAACCGGGGAAGGGGGCGACCGGTTGGTCGACCGGTCAGCCTATATTTTTTTTTTTCTTTCTTTGTTTGTTTCCCTCCATTTCTGTTTCCAATTGTTTTTCCTATTTCTTTTTCCCTCCATTACATATATGTCTGCTATATGGATTATGCTCTCATATAAGCCTATTATCCATATGCCAGACAAATTCGATCATACCTTAAACAAAACAGAGTACCATGAATACCTTGAAATCCATGATATTTACTTCATTTTCATCCTCCTCTTTTTCCTCTTCCTCTGATGATGAATATATCGTCACACTTGTAGGAGCTTATAAGCAGAATAATACTAGTATGTTTCAGATTCTTAAGTCAAGTGATAGGTCAAAGAAGATAGGTGGTTCTGTTGTAGGTCATAGATATATACACAGAGATAGAAGGCAGGGTCATGACAGATTGTTTGCAGATTATTTTGCTGCAAATCTAGTGTATTCACCCACAATATTTCGGAGACGTTTTCGAATGCATCGTCCTTTGTATCTACGCATTTTGAATGCAATTCAAACACACAATTCATATTTTGTTCAAAAACAAGATGCAGCTTATGTACTTGGATTATCTCCCCTACAAAAAATGACTGCAGCGATAAGAATATTATCATATGGTGTCGCAGCAGATGCAGTTGATGATTACATTCGTATTGGGGAAAGCACTACAATTCAAAGTTTGCAACAATTTTGTAATTCAGTGATTGAAATATTTGGAGAAGAATATCTGAGATCCCCGACGCCAACTGACATTGCTAGATTACTTGCTATTGGGGAGGTTCGGGGGTTTCCTGGCATGTTGGGAAGTTTAGATTGCATGCATTGGGAGTGGAAAAATTGTCCAAAGGCATGGCAAGGTCAGTACGTAGGCCATCAAAAAAAGCCAACCATTATTCTTGAAGCAGTAGCATCTTATGACCTATGGATTTGGCATGCATTTTTTTGAATGCCTGGCTCACACAATGACTTGAATATGTTGGACCGATCGCCTTTATTTTTTGATCTTGCGCAAGGTAAAGCTCCCCCTGTCCATTACACAATTAATGGACATAATTACGATATAGGTTATTACCTTGCTGCTGGTATATACCCTCAATGGGCAACATTGGTTCAAACAATTTCTTCTCCCCAAGGAGCAAAGAGACAACATTTTGCAATGATGCAAGAGTCTGCCAGGAAAGATGTAGAGCGGACATTCGGAGTCCTTCAATCTCGATTCGCAATTATACATGGTGCTGTACGTTATTGGGATTCGAAAATGCTTGCCAACATAATGAAAAGTTGCATCATATTACATAATATGATTGTCGAAGATGAGAGGGAGGAGCACCTTGATTTCAATTATGATATTGCATCAACCAACACACCAGTGCAACTTTCCTCTACTCCTACCAATGACTTCCAATCATTTCTGTCTCGTCATTTAGGTATTAGAGATAAGGATCCGTATCATGCCCTCCATAATGATTTAGTAGAACATATGTGGTATCTTCGTGGTGAACACTAAATTAACCACATCAATACATGTAATTTTGGTTTATAGTTTGGAATTGAAGGTTCTCTTGTTTGTAATATTTATTATGATGCAGCATATGAACTAAGTAATTCAGAAGTTATGTGATGATGTCCTGTTATCATATTCAATCTTTAATATTCAAAATTGTGCAGTGTATGAACTAAGTAAAATAAAAATGATTTTCCTAAATTCTGTGTTGATGTGCCACAAATGATAATACCATGTCCATTTATGCACATTTCATAATCATGTCTTAAATGGTACTTTAATAATAATATATTAAATTACTGATGGAAATGTGCATAATCATAATGTGTTCAATTATTGATGTTGACTTGCATAATCATAATGTCTTCTTTTACTGATGTTGATCTGCATAATCATAGTTTATTAATAATGTTTCATTTATGTATTCTTCACTCAAGGTCAATTCTTAAATTACTGCATTGTTGTATACAATTTATTGATCTTCAATTACTGAGCAACAAATAATTTAATAATACCACAAATTTATTCAAATTTATTGATGTGGCATTGATTTACTGATATTGATCTTTCAATTCATTTATTACCTCACTTAAAATGCATTCAACATACATAGTTAAAAAATACATAATAATCCATTCATTTAGTCAGTACATAAATTCATTCCACCTACAAATCATAATGTCTTCAATTATTTATGCACACATTGCATACGTAATTTCCTCAACACCTACCATTCAATTTACAGACACCACCTACCATTCATTGAATGCATGCCATCTGCCATGTCTCATTTTTCATACGGCATATGGGTGTTGAGTAGTAATATCCTCACCACCTACCTCAAGAATGGAGCATCTATATCAGCTCAAAAAACATGGCCAACCTTCACTGAATACCATTGTTTGTCTGTCCACAGATTGCCTCTAACAACACAGTCAGTGTATTCCTCCATCCACTATCTTCAAATTCGGCTTAACCAAAATCTAATCCCAAACTCTGAATAAGTGTGATTCCACAGACTGAGCAAGGGAAACATCTGAATCAGGAAAGGCAGGACCAGAACAAGAAGGCAGGGCAGCATCCAAAGAGGTGTGAAAGGCACGGGTCAACCGGCCCTGTTTACTTTATTTTTTTTCTCTTTCTTTCTTTCAGTGTGTATGCTGTATATTTGAAGTGTGTATGCTGTATTTGTTTAATTTTATGTTTAATTTGTTCAACCTTAACTTTTTCAAGAGCATGAAATTCATTTTTGAATCAAACTTCATGTTTAATATTTTAAAACATAAAACTGTTCAACTGGATGCACTTCATGTTTAATATTTTAACTGAAGGTGTAAAAGGGAAACATGGATAAAATTCTAGTGAGGAAAATGTCTGTCAACTAGATGCACTTTTACACTGCTCTAAGTTACATTTTAAATCAATTTTGGTGTATGTGGGATTGATATTGTCCCAAGTTCTGAATTTCAGTCTCCCTTCTGCTATTTTTATTTCATTTCCTTAACTCCTAGTGATTTCTGTCAACCAGGACTGATTTCTGAATTTGAGTCTCACTTCTACACTGCTCTAAGTTACATCCATTTTATTCAACTTTTTCCCATGATGTTATATTCCTGATTATATGCATATTGGCATAGGATGTTTTCAGGATTACTGATGTTTTTTAGATTAGTATGCATACTGAAAGATGGTAATATTTTTTCATTTTAATATGCATTGTAATATTAAAAGTATATTCATTTGAAGTTCAATAGATTTTGACATCATGCCTAGAACTAAAAGAGCGAGACTACAAGTTGGTGAAAGTTCCAACCCTTCACGACGCGAAGAACAACAGCCTCAAATGCAGTCATATCCTACTGATGATTTTTTCACTGAAAGTCATGCACTAGCATTTCCAAACTTTTCTGCCCGATCGATTGTAACAGGGAGAAGGGTAAGTCTTCCATCTCAATATGATGCACTATTAATTAGTAAACTTGAAGCAATGGGATGGAAAAACTTAATTAATTTGCCCCAAAAGGTATATCCACGGTTGGTAGCTCTATTTTATGTTCACCTAAGAGCTACTCAGGAAGAAGATGGAAATTTTACTCTTTTGTCGTATGTGAAAGGAAAAGGTATACAGTTTGATATTCCTACTTTGGCAAGCATTGTTGGAGTTGAGTTAGGTGATGAAAATATTCATTTTCAGACTGAGGGTAAGTTAGCTAATATCGTTGGTAATACTACTGATGTCTTTACTACTATTTGTCGGAATAGATTTACTGGGACTAGTTTACAAGCAAGACATTTAAAACCTCATCTTCGGATTCCCCACCGGTGGATTGTAGAAAATGTCACTCCAAAAAAAGGACACCATGATGCAGTCCCATAGTTTAATGCCTATTTGTTATACTGTTTTGAAGTTGGTCAGAAGGTAGATTTGTGTTACATAATTATGAAAGAAATGGTACTAGCAAATCAAGGTCAATTCACAGGTCGGTCATTACTGTTTGGGGCACTCTTAACAAAAATTTTCAAACATTTTAAGGTTCACCTTGCAGATGAAATGGATATTAAAATCCGTTCACCTATTAATCAGTATACAGTGACCCGTGCTGGTGCAGCCTCCAATTTAATGGGAAGTGATAATGCTTCAAAAGATTTAGAAAATGAAGTCCCAGAAGATGATGCTCCACAAGATCCTCATAACAATTTGATGCCATCAACTGAATAACCTCAATATTGCACTGAGTTTTTGGCCATGGAAGAACAACGTTATAATCAACGCGTTCAATGGGAACAGCAAATGGCTAATCAGGTCAATTCGTTGGGTAGTCAGTTTGATACATTTGCCACTGCACAGAACTCATTAATTCAACAATTTGGTGATTTTCATGTGGACATTGAGCATCGCGTAGATACGATTGAGCATCGTGTAAATGATATATACCAGCACTACTACCCTTCTCCACCACCACCACCACCACCACCAGATAATGACTTTTGATGTGTTTCACATTATGTATTTGTATTGGTTTGTATTTTGTTATTTTAAAAACCTTTTGTTGGGTCAATTTGTTATGACATTAGCCTATGCAGTTGTTATCACTTTATATTGTAGGTTTCATTTTAATGCTTAGTTGACAAAGGACATGATTATGTACATCCTGAAAATGCGACAACAAGGTCATTATCCAGTTATGATTCCTCTTGTACAAATCATGTTATAGTAGTCAATGACTTCACTTTAAATATCATTTTATAGAAGAGGAGGTTAATTAAAAAAAAAAACACATTGAACTACAGGCCAAAGATCTGTCTATGCAAAAAACATGGCAAGAATTAGGTATTGAACTTGAAATATGGCAAAAATACGTATCAAGGGAAATTCATAAAACCAAAAAAACTAACCAATACACGTTAGACGTAATATTTTTAAATAATAAAACCAATACATAAAACCCACAAATACGGAACCTTTCAAGGCAATCTATTAGTTGTTCGAAATAAAATCTGTCGTTGAAGATCTTCATAGTACGCTGTAGATACCCCATTTTTGACCGCCTTTAAGACTTGGACGCGACTGATGGTTTTGAAAGATGCGCAGGGCAAAGGTTCAATTTCTTGGGCAAAGAGAGAGAGTTAAATCTCAACTTCATACCCCTTTTTGGACCAAAACAATATCGATCAAAATATTTTAGACCTTGAAACCCTCTCTTTCAAAAACGTTTTTGAAATAAAGTTTCTACGATGTCCCGACGCTCGCATTTTGTTAAATGTTACGTTTTTCGGTAAACTGAGCGAGGACAAAGTGGAAATGAATGAAGGAGAGATGAACTCTTTTGAAAAAATATTTAAAAACACCTTGTTTAGGGGTTTGGAGTTGAAGAAAAGAGGAGAGGAGAGAAGAAAACAAGGTTGGGAGAAGTTCGGCATGGATCCGGGTAGGACCGAATCTGCGCGGCTTCACGGAAATTGGCATAAATTTTTCCACAGGAGGAATTTTAATGCAAGGTTTGCGCCATTGGAAAGCTAACTTCCGGGGCTTCAATTTGGACACTTGAATGGCCACCATTGGACTTCCCAATCACCGGCCGGCCACCTTTCTTTCCGGTAGAACCTTTTTTTGTTCTGAAAAGTAGCAGGCCGGCCACCTATTTGGTGAATGGATTTTTTTGCCCTTTTGAGCTAGCCGGCCATGATCCTTGTCCCAAGTGCATTCCAGCCATGTATTTTGTTTTGCACTTCACCCATGTCCGAGGGTTTGGCCTTTTGGGGGGGAAACTTGAATTTGAAATTCCCCCCCTTTTCTCCACTCCTTTGCCTATAAAACCAGCCCCTCCCCTTTAGTTTTAAGGGTTAGAAATTTTGGTTTGGAGCTCCTACATTGTATCTCTCTCTCTCTACACTCTAACCCTCAAAACCTCCCAAACCCTACACCATTTCTACACCACCACCTAGCACCACACCACCACCATCCATTCCAGCCACTTGGAGCTATTTTCCAGAGCTAAGGAGCCACCAAACTTGGTCCAAGAAGGGAAACCAGACCATCTTGAATATCTTCCCCCTCTTATCTCTACATCTTTCTTAGTATTCTCACCAATTTAAAAAGAAAAATGATTTAAACCTCTAAAAGGAGAGCTTTAATGGAGCATTAATTTATCTTTTTCTTCCCCATATTTTGTCCTTTACCTCATTGTTTTTTTTTTAAAATTTTTATTTTATTTTATGTAGCTAGCTCATTAAAACTGCTACAATACAATTCTAATTAGAGCTCAGCAGCACTACCGATTTAAAAATCATTTTCTCTTGCTAGCCACTGTATGATTCGACCACTGACCCTGCTTTTTGTCCAATCTCTCTTTTTTTGATTATTGTTTTTCCTTTTTTATTATCAAGCTTATACTTTTTCAAAATTTATATTTTATATTTAAATAATTTTTAATTTATTTCTGAAATATATTTTAAAAACATGATTACAACTTCTTTGATAAAGTATTTGAAATCGAAAATAC